CAAAATAAAAGGTCTAAATAAAAATATTAGTAAGGAAAACCTCTAGGAGAGATTCCAACTTCTATTCTAAGAAAACAGAACATACCTTTTCTTTTCAAATGTTTGTAATTATCACAAAAATTTACAACACAGAAAGTCTCAATTATATAAAACTCCAAAAGGTAGAAATAACAATATTCTTTTCTAATTACTAGATAAAAAGCTATGAGTGTGGGACTTGGTGGTCTCTCCTTGGTCTCTGGGAGAAAATGGCAAGAGGATTTAGAAAATAAAGACAACAGACAAGAGCTGGGTCAGGTGGAGTTACAGCTTACTTGATGGGCAAGAGGACTGACTTCAACAGTAGGGGCGTTTATTTTATACCTTTGCAAAGATAGTATCAGGAGAAGTAATGTTGCCCCTGACTAACTACTGTAATTGTCCCAGCAGGATGCTTTTTTCAATATTGAAGTGGCTTGACTGCCTGAGGCACTCTGGCTCTGTCCCCCGCCCCCACTCAGACATATGACCAATTTCCAGCTCCAGTGGCTCCCAACATGTGAGGTTTAAAAAAAAAAACCTGTTAGAAAAAAAGCATTGTTGTCAAATATCCTTTCTTAAACAAATGTTCTGTTAAATAGCAAATCCAATTCAAAATTTCAAATATCTAGAATAATCAAATTACCATATATTAGAATTATGGTATGTGGTAAAAGCAGAGCTCATAGACAAAATTCATCAAAAACATAAAAAGGAAAAAGAACTGACAAGGAGAAATGAAAGTAGAAATACACAGAAGAAGAAACAAAAACTATTCAGATATTTTTTAAAAGTTAGAGCCAGATGTGGCGGTGAACGCCTGTAATTCTACCAGTTGGGAGGCTGAGGCAGGAGGATCACTCCAAGTTCAAGGCCAGCCTGGGCTACACACTGAGTTCAAGGCCAGCCTGAACTACATAGCAAGATTCTGTCTTAAAAGAAAAAAGAAAAGAAAAGAAAAATGAATTTAAGCACGTTATTTTGACCAATTATGGGCACAGTTGTGAAAATACGAATGAAATGGAGATTTTCTAGGAGATATAAATACTCAATATTCCAATTGAAATTCTGAGAATTGAGAAATAAAACTTCATGTTGCTCATAAAAGTTACAGAAAACTTGAGAGTTAAAGAAAGAAAATAAATACACGGAAACACTGGTCCGCAGAGCTGTGGACTGACGTTACTCATCCTGGATAAAAAGCTCAAGGAGGAGGCGCCGCCGTCCGCCCGCCCGCGGATCTCGCACAACTCTCCTCTTTCCCGCGCCTCCGCGCTCTCCCCTGTCCGCTCCAGCTGTGCGCACCGCACCCCGCGCAGCCGAGTCCCGCGACGCCCTCCGCGTGCTCCGCCCCGACCGCGGCTCTGCGCGGGGCTGTGTACACGGGAACCGGCGGCGGAAGGCTCGGCCCTCCCCCGGCCCCTGCGGGTCCTCTCTGCCGCTCAGCGTTCAGGGAACTCTCCACTGCGGAGCCGGGCGCGCAGCCCCTGGGACCCACGAGGACGCGGGAATCGAAGGAAAAGCGAAAGCGGGTGAACGTTCTCCGGCGTGTCCGCAGTCGTCCTCCTGCACTTTTCCCTCCCGAACCACCCTTGGTCCGCGCCCGGCTCCGTGGGGTACCTGTCACCTCGTGCTGCTGGGGGAATTTCTGTTCCTTCTAAAAATCTACTTGCAGCCCTCGTCAAACTGAGATAAGATCAGAGAAAGAGGAACAGGCAACACCAGTGGTTAAAAGAAAAGCGAGAGGAGCCCGCACTGCTTGTCACGTCATCCGAGTCCTGGGGAGACACAGCGCGACAGCCCTGCGGGACAGGCTCCCGCGCTGTCACGGCGCCGCGGGGCCGGGATGGCTCACAACGGGCCGTGCGAAGGGTTACTGCGCGGGGCCTGGGCCTGCTCCGTCCTCAACCCCTTGGCGGTTTACACGGACGCAGCCCCCCTCTGCTGCGGTCCCGGACACCCTCCCGGAAACCTTCCTTCTCATCCGCTTCGCATGGGAATCTCGGCCGGCCTCGGAATGTGTCTGCTCCGTGGTTCCACTAACCGATCTCATATTCCCTTAACTTACCCGATTCCTCCAGAAGAGGGGCGCCTTCAGCCCAGGTTCCTTTCCCGTCGCCCTGCTTCAGCGTCTGCACCAACCCGCCTTCCCACATCCCACGTTCATCAGTGCACCCGTTTGTCTGTTTCTAACCAATACTCCATCCCTCCCCAGCGAGTATTCAGCTTCCCCTTTCTGATAATGCGAATGTCCTCATTTTCCTCAGGGCCCACAATGAGAGCCTCCTCACCTCCACACCTCCCTCACTACACCCAGCCTTTCCCAGAATGTCCCTGGCCCCTGGTCTGGCCTCAGGGTCCAACCCTCAGTGATCTGCGTGTAGTGAACGCACAGACCTTACCGCTGCGTTGCGCAGTGCGCACATCGCAGGCCCTACCACGGAGAGCTTTAAATCTGTGGGTTGGACGATTCACTCATCAAACAACCCAGTAAAAGAGAACAAAGCCTGTTTCTCCTGACTCCTGGTCCAAATCTCTTGCTGATGGAAAGTCGCAGTACAGCTGGAGTAGAAGACTTACATACAGTGTAGTTGGTTACTCACCTGCAAAAGTTCAAGTGCTGGCTCTGAACCTTTTTCTCTAACTGGCAATTGAGGTCCCAAGCCGGAACACCTCCTGCCAGCCTTGAGGGATGGGGTGCTCCCCGCTTCCGGGAGCTCTCGCTCCACCCCTCCAGCAGGTCTTGCTCCCTTCCCATCAAGAACTGGTGGCCCTGTTCACATCCAACAGACTGTCCTGCCTGTGGTTCTGGAATTTTGTCTACAGTAAACCCAGCAAGAGAAGAACGATTTCTTCTGAGAGGCCAGGAAATGCTGGAACATTTGTGAGCTCATCCAGGAATGAGTTCAGAACAGAAATCCCTTAGGTCACCCTCCCCTGAGTCCCCCCCCCAACACACACACCAAACATTCCATAGAGATTCTCTTACCAGCTGAGCCTGAATCGCATCTTCTACTGTAGACTGAGAATTCTGAACTCTATCCTTGTCTCCTTTCAGAATCTTAAGGTAGTTTATAGTTTTACCCTATGGAAATAAACATGAATATTCTTAAATTTGCAATGAAAATGACCCAAATCAAAAGAGGATGATCAAAGTGGGTCCACAGAGAACAGACAGTGTTTGACACCTTTTAGTAATTCCAGCACGTGGGACAGTTTCCGTTCTAGTGAATGACGAGCAAACACAATAAACAGTATGCTGGCTGAGAGCACTCTCTGCAAAGTGGAATAAAATAACCTATTTTCACTACAACTACTAAGAATTATGGTGTAGCTTTTGCTGATATTTACGCTGGCTTTTTCCATCAAAAATACAATTTAATGCAAGGTCGTGAGTTCGGTTCCTGGTACCGGAGAAAAACCAAAAAAAAAAAAAAATACAATTTAAATTTAAATTAACAATATAGAAATAGAAAAAATGTCATAGGAAGTGAAGGAATGTATATATATTGGTTCAGTTCATCTGTCAATGAGCATGTGGTTATTGTGAATAACACTGCAAGGAATATAGAAGTGGAAATATCTCTTTGAGATCCTGGTTTTATTTCCTTTGAATAAATATCCAGAAGTGAGATTGCTGGGTGATGTGGCTGCTCAATTTTAAAGTTTTGAGGACCTTCTATTTTTTTTAGTAGTGGCTGTGCCAATTAATATTCCCACCAACAGTGTGCCCAGGTTCTCTTTTCTCCACATCCTCACCAGCACTTTTTATCCTTCCAGGTAGCCATTACATTATTCACTCTGCAAGACAGCTTTTAAGAAAGAGAATATCTGCCACGTTTGGCAGATGGCCAGCTTGGTGGAGGACTTCTGGGGGATGAGGAGAGACAACCCTAGAGGGTGATAACAAGTGAAACCGCTCTCCTAATGGGAGAAGGGATCTGCCTAGCACCTTGTTTGTCTGGCTCGCCTCGAGAGCTCCATGTTCTCAGGGCTGGCCTTGCTTTAGCCCCACATGTGCGAGTGAGCTCCAGCTTAGCTGCTCCCTACAATGACCACTATGCTGAAGAGGCAGAGTCCCCCCTCAAGGTGAGGAATCCCTTTCTAAAAAGACACAAAGATGAAAGTAGAAACTGTGACTTTAATAAAAATCAAGCCAGAACTATCAAAACTATTTTTTAAGTTTAGATTGTCCCCACCCTTTTTGGTCAAAATCTAGATTTCCTTCTAGGTTACTCCTCAGTGTAGTTTCCAGCCTGTAGAATTCAATGTATCAGTATCAAGCAGCTTGCTGTGGTGTGAGCATTTACTTCAGTGGGTACTCGGAGATGTAATCAAGTGCAAATATTCTTAAAGATTATGGGAAGGTGAAATCCCAACAGAGGCTAAAGGATTTATGTCCAGCTTTTAGATTAACTCATGAAAAATACTTGCTCTAAATACTTCAATGAGAATTACAAAATTTAGAGTTGTATCTTCAAATTCATCTGAGAAAAATGAGTTAGATTTTAGAAACCACTACATTTAGTTATGGGTTTATCATTCATATTGGGCTTGGAAATGTCATCATCATGGTTGGAACTAATTTTTTCCCAAAATATTTTTGCCCAAAATATTTTGTTAAAAACCATATATTAATACCATTTTATTATTATTATTATTGTTATTATTAGTTTTTTTTTTAGTTTTTCTCTGGTACTGGGAACCGAACTCATGACCTTGCGCTTGCGAGGCAGGCGCTTTGCCGCTGAGCTAAATCCCCAGGCCCCACCATTTTATTATTTATAATTCATTCTGGCTTTATTACAGCCCATTAAAAATGTTGTAACCCATAAAATTGATGTCATGATACAAGCTATTACTTCTACACTTTGAAAAACACTTATTTAGCTGGGCATGGTGGTACATGCCTGTAATCCCAGCACTCAGGAGGCAGAGGCAGGAGGATCACTGAAGTTCAAGACCAGCCTGGGTTACAAAATGAACTCAAGACCAGCCTCAACTGCATAGCAAGATCTTGTTTCAAAACAGAAAAAAGGGGCTGGGGATTTAGCTCACCGGCAAAGCACCTGCCTGGCAAGCGCAAGGTCGTGAGTTCGGTTCCCGGTACCGGAGAAAAACAAAAACAAAACAAAACAAAAAAAGACACTTTTAAGCCTAAAGAAAGGAAAGGGGATAAGGAATTCATTGAATGCCTCAAGAGACATTGTGTGAATTTGTAAACAAAACAAAACAAAACAAACAAACCCCACTTACTTAAACCACCATAACTTTGTTACTAACCCTTACCTCTGCCTACAAACACAAAGTAGGGAGCTACAAAGGCCAACCGTATCACCACTTGAACATACAGTAGCACTTTAAATCCACATTTCCAAAGCCATTATCTCTCTCATTCTCCCTATTCTTCAGGAACAGGTACTAAGGCCCCTCTCATTACCAGAGCCAGAAACCTAAAAATGATATATCTCATTCTCTTTTAGTACTACCACCTGCATCTGTTCATAAATTGAACAATAGTTTCCAAAATAAAAAATTCACTGCATGGGCTCAAAAGCAGAATGGAGATGATAATGAAAAGAGTAAGTGAACTTGAACACACTGCAATAAAAGTTACCCAATCTAAGTAATAAAAAAATTAAAAATAAAACAGAAAGTCAACAAACTATAAAACAATATTAGAAAATGTAAGATTCATGTCCGTAGAGTCCCAGGAGAGGGGAAAAATATTGGTGTGGTGGATAACAACTGATGGTCAACTTGTAACACCCAGCTGAACTGAACCAGCATGGTGCTGGGTGTGGGAGGCCCACCTGAGGATTGTTGCTGGCAGCATAAGAGGCAGAACTAAAGAAGAAGAAGAGAAATTAGGGAGCTGTTAGGAGCAGTTAGTTCTCCTGGAAGAGCTTGTCATGCTGGCTTTCCTGATAAACTCGGCTGTTTTCATTGTCAAAAGAGTTCAGGACATTGTTGTTGCTGAGAATGGCTGTGGTTCACTTTGGGGGAGCTGTGGTCATTACTTTGAGCATCACTTCCTGGCTCCAGAGGGGAAGATGGTGCACTGTTCAGTCTCCTGGGGAAGCTTGTCACACTGGCCATCCTTAACTTTTCTGTGGGTAAAACAATAAGGTTCAACCAGGCGTGGTGGCCCATGCCTCTAATCCCAGCACATGGGAGGCTGAGGCAGGAGGATCGTTGTGAGTTCAAGACCAGCCTGGGCTACAAAGTGAGTCCAAGGCAGCCTGAAGTGCATAGTGAGACCCTGTCTCCCAAAGACAAATAAATAAATAAATAAATAAATAAATAAATAAATAAAGTTCATTAAAAGATGCTGTTGGTATAAAACTAAATTAAGGGACAAAGGAGTTCACATAGTGATGACATTCATTATTGCTAATCTCATGATATACTAAACGTATTCATGCCTTCTGGGTGTACAGGTCTTCTAAGATGTAAAATCAAGACTGTTTACAGTGATAATCTTTTCTTTTAGACAGAAATATCTGCCTTTCACTTGTGCTCCAGCTACTTATGATAAGAGATACATGTCCAGCCAATATATTATATGTGTCACTACACTTAGGGATACTGAGGCACCAAATAGTCTCAACAATGTCACATACTAAAATTAGATGGTGGACATTATAAACTTCTGAGGTACGTTTATAGACAGGTGAATTCTCCTTGGATGGCATCTATTGAAGGATAATAAATTAGGTGAGAGTTTTCTTTGTGTCTTTTAATGTCTTGTGATCAGATGGAGATGTTTGACTAAAAAGGTTGTTCTATCCTAAAATGGACATTTAAATGTTTTTCAAAGATAACAGCATGATTGTCATGCTGAAATACTATGTATGGCTTTTAATCTCAAGTTTTCTTTGTAAAACTATATGATTATTGTCTGTTAACATTCTACAGGGATTCAACTACTAAAACAACCATAGTTGGTAAGAAATAACAGTTTTCTGGCTATAGTTGACATTGCGGAATGCTTGCTATTTGGGTCAGATTATAGTAGTTAAGTCCACTGCTCTGTCTGCAATACTTATGTCACTGATCTTTTTTTCTAGGTGTTCAACAACTAAAGTTTAGAGACCAGAACTGGAAAGCTAACTGAGCTAAGAGGACAGCCAATATATTGGGCCTAGTCCTCCAAGGTCATTGAGGACCCAGGACATGAGAGAACATTTTTCTACAAGATTTCACAACTCTTTGAGGCCTACCTGGGCTACAAAGTGAGTTCAAGGCCAGCCTGAACTGCATAGTGAAACCCTGTCTCAAAAAGGTAAAAAAAAAAAAAAAAAAAAAAAAACAATTCACAACTCTGATAAGTCACCCAACCTCCGGAGCAGGGAGATTGTTGTACCCTAGAGGACAAGAATCAACAAGTATACAGTGTGCTCAAGGACACAAGGAGGGTCATCAAGCAGAAAAGTCTCTCATGCTTTCACAGAAACCTGATTAAGCAAGGGCATGACCAATCCTGATAGCTGACACTGACAGATGAGCTGAGAGGCTCTGTACATGTTTCCAAAAGCAATGCCTGAGGAGACTTAACTGGCCTTAATGGACAGCAAGAAGTTAATTTTGATTGACACAGGTCTCAGCCAATCAAATCCAAAAGCATATTAAAAGATTATGAACCATTACCAAGTGAGATTTACACCAAAAATACAAAGTGATTCAACATAAGAAATGTAATAATTCATTCTCATGTAACAGCATAAGAGAAAAAAGATAATCTCAGTTGATGCAGAAAAGGCATTTAACAAAATTTAACATACTTTCATAATAAAAACTCAGAAAACTAGGAAAGAAGGGAAAATTCTTCAATATAGTAAAGAGAAAAACCCATAGCTAACATTTTATTTCATGATGAAAGACTGAGGGATTTTTCCTTAAGAGCGAGAAAAAGTGGTTCCTTATTTCACTGCTGGTATTCAACCTTGCACTGGAAATTCTACCCAGACCTATTACACCAAAAATTAAAACTTAAAGTAACCTAAATTGGAAACAAAAAATAAAACTATATTTGCAAATGACATGATTCTCTATATAGAAAATCCCAAAGACTCCACAAAAAAACTACTAGAACTAATAAATTCAGCAAAGTTGCAAGGTACAAGCTTAGTGCACAAAAAATTAGTTTTGTTTTATACAATGATGAACAACCCAAAAAGGAAATTAAGAAGGCAATTCCATTTATACTAGCATCCAAAAAATTAAATACTTAAGAATAAATCTAACCAAGGAGATGAAAGATATTTATACTGAAAACCATAAAACACTGCTGAAATTAAGAAAGACTTAAATAAGTAAAAACATATATATGTTCATGGATAGGAAGGCTTAACATTGTTAAAATGTCACTAAGACCCAAAGTGATCTACAGATTCAATGCAATCTCTAATAATTATCACAGTCTCTTTTCACAGAAATAGAAAAGCAGATCCTCAGATTCATTTGGAATTGTAAGGGACTCCAAACAACCAAAACAATCTTGAAGAACAAAGCCAGAAGCACGATACTTCCAGACTTCAAGACTTATTACAAAGCTACAGTAACTAAAATAGTATGGTATTGGGATAAAGACAGGTATATAGGCTAATAAAGTAGAAGAGAGAGCCAAGAAATAATTTGACAACAATTTCTTGAATATGCCACAAAAAATACAAGCAGCAAAAAAAATAAAGAACTTTTGTGCATCAAAGGAGAACATTAAGAAAGTAAACAAGACAATATTCAGGTTGGAGAAAATACTTGGAAATCATATAAGGGCTTCATATACAGAATATATAAAGAATATTCACAACTCAACCACAAAAAGACAATGCAGCTCAAAAATGTGCAAAAAATTTGAAGAGACATTTCTCTAAATATTTAAATGACCAATAATAACATAGAAATATTTCAACATCATTAGCCATTAAGGAAATGCAAATCAAAATAATGAGGTGCCACTTCACACCTACTAAAATGGCTATATATTTTTAAAATGAAAGTAATAAGTATTGACAAGTATTTGCAGAAATTGCAACCCTCATGCATTACTGGTGGGGATATAAAATGGTGCAGCCACCGTGAAAGCACTTTGGTAGTACCTCAAGAAGTGAGATGTGCAACTATCATATAATTCAGCAATTCTGGACTAGGTTCATATCCAAAAGAAGCGAAAACAGGCCTTGAAAAGATACTGTATGCCACTGTTCATAGGAGTCTTTCATAAAGAAACAGCCTAAGTGTTCCTTAACAAATGAGTAAATAAATCCATGCATATGCATACAAACAATGGAAAGCTATTGAAACATAAAAAGAAATGAAATTTTGATATATGCTCCAAGATGATGAACCTGAAAGACATTATGCTTAGGAAAATAAGCCAGATGCAAAAGGACAAATATTACATGATTCTGCTTATATGTATTCCCTAAAGTGGGTATAGTGATAGAAACAGAAAGTAACATGGAGATTACCAAGAGTTGGGAGCAGGAAAAGGTAAAGTTAGCATAAATAAGAGGGCTTGTTGGAGAAAATAAAAAGGTTTTGGGTCCATATAGTGGTGATGGTTACATAGCATTGGGAATATATTTAATGCCTCTGACTTGTACAGTTACACATGATCATATGATATATTTTATCATAAAAATGTAGAAAGAGTATATGTTCATTTGTATGTCACAACTTATTCTAAATCAAGAAATAAACTACTTTCTTTCTGAAGCAAAATATGCCTAATAATATTTTGGACTCTTTATAAGGTACAAACTCTAGAAGGCTTAAGGTACTCAATAATAATGGTTAAGGAAATAAAGTATTAGAATAAAGGACAACAATTAGAATAGAGGTTAATGATGACTCTGGCAGTTCTTGTTCACAAATTATTTCTGGCTCTCCACTATCCCTTTTGTATTTACATGTGACGACATGAGCTACTTAGGCCAATGAAATGTAAGCAGATATAGTGTACATTGCTTCTAGGCAAAAGCTTCAAGAACCACCTTTTCTCTCTCCTTCTGCCATGACAACCAACAAGATGCCAGACTGTCAGTTGCTGTCATCGTAGATCCTAGTGTACACACAAAATACAAATCCACAGCTAATCTTGAGTGAAATATTAATGAGAAATAGACCTTTATTATTTTAGTTACTGATATTTGGGAGCCTATATTGAGGCAGGAGACTAGGGCCTGGCAAACCAGCAGTGCAATTGGACAGGACCTGTCAATCACAAAGAGCTCTCAAATCTTGGCCAATCATGGCTAGGTAACTAGAGGTAACCTGTCAGTCATGGAGAGCTATCAAATCACAGCTAGCAGCTTCGAGCAGGGGCGGGACAGCCCAGATGTGAGGGAACAAGATGTAAAGATGACGGCCTTTGACTTCGCTGCCATTGCCCCTGGCTCCTTTCTGTAGTGGCCTGTCCTGCATGCAGGAGATATCTTCTGTTTGATCTTTTCTTTTTCTTCTCTTTCTCTCATTTTCCCCAATAAACGTTCACCTCTCCTTTCTTCTTTTCTCATTTCCTCAATAAACATTCACTTCTTTCTTCTTATTCTCTTATCTCCCCCAATAAACGTTGACCTCTGCTTTTTTTCCTTCTTTTTCTCTCAGTTCCCTCAATAAACTTCACACCGTCATGCTCACCAGCTGGCCTCGCGCGATTCTGTGGACCGTGGGCTAGGAGCCCTGGACTCCACGCGTCCTCAGCAGTTTCGGCGACGCCAGCCAGGAGCCGCCCGCGCGCAGAGCCAGGCCCGGAGGCGACGCGGAGGCCGGAGGCCGGAGGTCGGAGCCGAGGCTGGCGCGGAGCCCGAGCTGCCCCAGGCCGGGTC